CCCTCTCCCTCCCAGCGCATCGGCCGCTCCATCCCATGCGATTCTTCTCATTGCCGGCGGGGGCGCCAGCGGCTGGGCAGAGCTCCACAGCTCTGCTTAGCGCACGTGGCACAAGCCCGGCTACAGGCACGACAGCAGGGCTTCTGGAGGAAAGGGGCGGCTGCCTCCTGGCTCAGCCTCCACGGTCAGCCTCAGCGGGGGGCATGGAGAAGAAAAGAGCCTCAGGCGGCGGTCTGGTGGAGCGGAGGAAGAAAGAGGACTCCAACGCCCGTGCCTTGGACAAGGTAAGCGCTTCCCCACAGCTCGGCCTCAGGCGCCTGTGCTCCTTCCCCCTTGGTCCTTGGCTGGTCCCTGCTCCTGTCCCCTTGTGTGTGGGTGGCTGGAGAGGACGGCAGCCTGCAGAGCTGAGCTGCCCCAGTGCCCCCCTCTCCCTGCTCCAGCCTCTGTCATGCCCGGTATCTGAGTTCAGAGCCGCCTGGGGGGGGGCAAGTGGGGCAATTTGCCCCAGGCCCTGGGCCCTGTAGGGCCCCCATGAGTATGTCGGAGGCTCCTGGGAGAGGGGGTAAGCGGCATGGTAAGGGGCTGGGGCCGGGCACCCCCCCGACCCCATCCCCCACAGCCCTGACCCCCAGCTCCGAGCCCAGCCCCTCTGAGCCGGGCACCCCCCGACCCCATCCTCCCCACAGCCCTGACCCCCAGCTCCGAGCCCAGCCCCTCTGAGCTGGAAACCCCCCTGACCCCATCTCCCCACATCCCTGAGCCCAGCCCCTGTGAGCCAGGCACCCCTGAACCCAGAGCCCAGCTCCCCACCCAGCCCTGGGCAACAGCAACACCTCCCCCAGGCAGCGACAGCCCACTGGCACCAACCATCACTATCACCCAGCAATAGCCCATTATGTAATTGCAAATATATACATACCATTACAGCTTTTAATGTTTTTAAATAATGTATTTAGTGTATTTTCAAATTATTACAAATTAATTTTTGAATGTATTTCACCAGTTATTTTTTACATTTCCAAATACGTTACTATAGTATTGCAACTTTTTTTGATGGAAGGGGCCCCCGAAATTGCTTTGCCCCAGGCCCCCTGAATCCTCTGGGCGGCCCTGGAACATGACATTGCTCACAGCATTGACTTGGAGGAACTTGTTTCTAAATTTGCTAAACTTAAAGCGCGGAAACATAAATTCTAAATTATAACATGTTACTTTGTGACCGTGTATTGTGTATAATGTATGTGATTTATTTGGGGGAGGGAGGGCGCAAGGTGGAAGTTTCGCCTAGGGCGCAAAATATCCTTGCACCGGCCCTGGCTACAGGGCAGGACTAATGTGCATTGACAGGCTGGCGTGTGGAGTTTTGCCACAGCCCCTGTCTGCATTAAACTGTACCATGCTCTAAGAAAGCATGAGAGAGGAAGTGCTGACCAAACACACACAGGCTATCTCTATACTTATGGCAGCATGTAGAGTACAGGCACTACAAGGGTAACTGCACGCCACATGAAAAGCAGTCCACACCTACACCACTTGTCACTGCAGTGTGTAGGTGCACACTGCAGTGAAAGGCTCCAGCAAGGGGGAAGGAAACAGGGATTGGGTGACTGGGCAACAAAATGGCAGATGAAATTCAATGTTGATAAATGCAAAGTAATGCACATTGGAAAACATAATCCCAACTATTCATACAAAATGATGGATCTAAATTAGCTGTTACCAATCAAGAAAGAGATCTTGGAGTCATTGTGGATAGTTCTCTGAAAACATCCGCTCAATGTGCAGCGGCAGACAAAAAGGCTAACAGAATGTTGGGAACCATTAGGAAAGGGATAGATAACAAGACAGAAAATATCATATTGCCTCTATATAAATCCATGGTACACCCTCACCTTGAATATTGCATGCATTTTTGGTTGCTCCATCTCAAAAAAGATATATTGGAATTGGAAAAGGTACAGAGAAGGGCAACAAAAATAATTAAGGGTATGGAACAGCTTCCATATAAGGAGAGATTAAAAAGACTGACTTTTCAGCTTGGAAAAGAGACTGCTAAGGGGGGATATGACAGAGATCTATGAAATCTTGACTGGTGAGGAGAAAGTGAATAAAGAAATGTTGTTTACTCCTTCACATAATACAAAAACTAGGGGTTATCCAGTGAAATTAATAGGCAGCAGGTTTAAAACAAACAAAAGGAAGTTCTTCACAAAATGCACAGTCATAGGTGCCGACTCCGTGGGTGCTCCGGGGCTGGAGCACCCACGGGGAAAAATTGGTGGGTGCTCTGCACCCACGGGCAGCCAAGCTCCCCGCCCAACCCCACCTCACCTCTGCCTCCGCCTCCTCCCCTGAGCGCGCCGTCCTCGCTTCTCCTCCCAGTGCTTGCTGCCGCAAAACAGCTGTTTCGCGGCGTAACAAGCTGTGGGAGGGAAGGGGAGGAGCAGGAATACAACATGCTCAGGGGAGGAGGTGGGCTGGGGCGGGGATTTGGGGAAGGAGTCCAATAGGGGCAGGGACTTTGGGAAAGGGGTTGGAATGGGGGTGGGGCAGGTCTGGGGGTGAGGGGGTGCGAGCTCCCACTGGCGTCAGGAAAAGTTGGTGCCTATGTGCACAGTGAATCTATGGAACTCTGTCAGGGGATGCTGTGAAAGCCAAAACTATAACAGGGTTCAAAAAAGAACTAGATAAGTTCATGGAGGATAGGTCCATCAATGGCTTTAGCCAGGATGGGCAGGGATGCAACACTATGCTCTGAGTGTTCCTAGCCTCTGTTTGCCAGAAGCTGGGAGTGGATGACGGGATGAATCATTCAATGGTTGCCTGTCCTGTTCATTCCCTCTGAAGTACCTGGCATTGGCCACTGTTGGAAGATAGGACAATGGGCTAGATGGACCATTGGTCTGGTATGGCTGTTCTTATGTCCTATGGGAAAGGCTTTGGCACGAATGAGGCAACAGGACACTACACTGGTAAAAAACAGCAGTGTAGATATGGGAGGCACTGCTTGGGCATGTAGAGATAGGGTTACCATACGTCCAGGTTTTCCTGGATAGGACCTCTTTTTTGGTTCTCCAATCTCTGCCCAGGCAAATTTTTGAAATCTGAACAAATGTCTGTGATTTTGAGCTAGGCAGCCAGAGAGCGGCAGCTGCTGGCTGGGTGCCCAGCTCTGAAGGCAGTGCCGCTGCCAGCGGCAGCACAGAAGTGAGGGTGACATAGTATGGTATTGCCACCCTTACTTTTGTGCTGGTGGTGGCGCTGCCTTCATAGCAGGATGGTTGGAGAGCGGTGGCAGCTGTACCCCACCCTAGATCCTGGCAGTATTCTCTATTTGAGGGACTTGAAATATGGTAACCCGATGTAGAGAGCCCATGTAGGGTATACACCCTGGAGGTTCAGGCGTGTAGGACACTCTCCTCTCCTCACCAAAGCCATGCCTCACCCTCTACATTGCTCTTTATCCCTGTGCTAGCTGGGTGTGCAGTGTCTGTACATGCTGTCATAAGTGTAGACTTACACACACGACAAAACTCCCTGAAATTTTCAAGGGAAATGCACCTGATCCCAGTTGTACTTACATGGGAATGTGAATATCTATGAAGTTCTTGGGGACATATCCTTCGTGACTTCTCAGTTCAGCCCTGTACCACTCTTCCTGGGAGCTTAAAATCTGCAGCAGAGACAGAATGAAAGAATGAATGAATAAATGAATGAATGAATGAATGAACGAACCTCCTTGGGAAAGACAAGGTAACCAGAAGGAGAAATTACTGGCAAAAGAAAGAAAAAGAGTTATTTGGAAGGATAAAAGCAGACTAGATTGGGTTTGCTGGTGCTGAGAGCCCTGGAATCCCATGGCACCCCCGTTTTCTTCCCCCCACATGCACTAACTGCAGCAGGGCTGGTAGCTGAAGGCCAGTTCAGTGCAAATAAAGCAATGAGGAAGATATGGAGGAATTAGAGGGACTGCTTGTTAGTTTTATCTGTATTCCTGGATAAATGTCCAGAAGGCTGGGAAATGTACGCTGCACAGCTCTAATGCCTTCATTATGGAGGAGTTCGCTATGAAGGACTTAGTTGGGGTTTAAGGAGTTCTTTGTGTTGTTTTTAATAGTTTGCCCTGGCGTGTCCCAATTTGACAAGAGATGAAAAAGCTCTGAAGAACTCTGCTATGTAGGAATGTGTGTGTTTGTGATTGTGTGTGTGTGTTACTGGGTATCATTGCATGTGCTAGAATTAGGGGGCTGAATCTTCAACTGTGCAGAGCTCACACCAGGCCAGTTGAAGGGAGGAGGCAAAGTTGGTTCAAAGCTAGTTTTCTGCCTCCCTAGATCCTGGAGGTTGCAGGGGGCCAGCCTCAGCAGTAATGCAAATTGGAGTAGCCTCAGGGCTACGCCTACTATCGCTACTAGGGTCATTCCACTGATCAAGGATTGCTGGACTGAATTATGCTCTGCCTCTACCCCACTGTGCCCCTGACATGGCCCGAAGATGGAGGTGAGGGAACAGGTGGCATATAGCTACCTGTGTTGCCAGCGGCTATGATTTTATTGCAAGCTTTGTGGTATATGGTGTGTTTTTTTTTAAATTCCAGTTCCAGGAGGCAAGTGAATCCGTGAGAATCTCAGCTTTCATTTTTTTTAAAAGGAAGTTTCTAGCCCTTATGGTTGAAAAGCTTGAAGTATGACCCCTAGCGGCTCAGGAAACAGAAGCCAAAAAAAAGTTTCCAAAATATGTAATTATAAAAAAAGGGTTAAGCCTTGTTTTTAAACATTCGGGGTTGACAGTACTGAGACCTCTGGGACTCATTCTCCACTACCTTGCCCCTTGTGTAGCCCTTACACCCATGCACAGGGAGGGAATGGGCAGCTGAGGATTTCTGAATGGGTAGCTGAGGATTCCCCGGCTTATTGCCAGTTGATTCCCCTGTACAGTGGGCCTGATTTGAGGTCCCTTTGTGCTGCTCCAAGCAAACCAAATGGGATACAACTCTTTTCTCCTCTATGGCTCAACGCCTACACAGGGTATGACTGCATATCAGCAACCCTTTCTTCCCTCCTGCCTGGAGACTGCTCTGCTAGCAGCTAGGTTTCCGGCGCAATCCACCTGCAAGCTCTTGCTGCGCAGAGGGCAGGCCCCCTTTGTCAGTCTCTCACAGCAGGGGTGGTGGGGAGGTGGATTTCCTCCTGTCGCTGCTGGTTCAGGGCCTCACACTTCCTGTTCATTTAATCTCCACATCAATACTGTTTACCTTATCTCCTTCACCAATCAGTTAAGATAAACCCCAGCAGGTTGCACAGACCGGGTAGGGAGGACAGCTGGGGGTATGTGTGTGTGTGTGCGTGCGTGTGATGTTACACACTTCGATTTGTCAGATCTTTGACTCTTGGCTGCTAGGGAGTTGCGTTGCCTCAAAGAGACAGAGATCAAATGAGAGGACAATCTCTGGCTTTCTCGTTGTGAATTCCCAGTGACAATAAACAAGTGAGTAGAGAGATACAATCAACCCAGTGCAGAGGTGGAGGCAGCAGGGGCATGGGGACGGAGTTTGAGCTGAGGAAGCATCAGGAGTGCTGTGTAGGGCAAGTGCTCAACCATCCTAAAGGGGAGAAGGGGGATTTGTCCATAGCACCTCTCATGTCACTCTGGAAAGATCCCCCTCTTTGACCTTGGTGGGTTTTGGATTGAGCCACGTTTGCCCTAAGTCCCAAGAACAGATGGCAGGGAGGGTAAAGTGAAAAATGGGGGTCTGGACCTAAGGAAAGCTGAGAGGGGAGAATTCATAGATTATAATTAATTGGAATAGCAGGGGGTGCTGCAGGCCAAGACAGAGGTGCCCGGGCCATCATTACTCAACAATGCTCCTTCTGGCCAATTAAGGGGTATAGTCAATGAGTGCCAATGTGAGTCATGTTCAGGCATCTTCAGCTGTAGCAGAGTGACTATGATGCACGGTGTTTGAGGAATTGGGTAAAAAATATTATGTGGGGTTGTGTGGATTCATCCTCATTGCTGATAACAAGAACAATTCTACCATAACAAACACAAAGATTAAATAGTCTGTGTTTCACATTCTATATGTCTGACGTTTGCCCGCCACTTCTTCCACTCCCGCTCTAGCATTCCTCTGCTTCTTCATTTCTGAAGGGGGTGTTGTGTATTATACTAGCTCAGGGGTTCTCAAAATTTTTCATACTTTTTCATACAGAAATTATCTTGTGGATACTTCCCCTCCATTAGCAATTATATAATATCCCTGTGGCAACTACAGTAATTCCTTACAGGGAACAGTAATATCAGGAAAGTCACTTAATGTACTTTAGCCATCTTTTATAGCAATCTAACAGCTGGAAATAAGGAGGATGGCAAGCACTGTGTGACGAGCCAGTTCTCCATGAACCTCCAGCAAGCCCTCCATGGAACACTAGTGGCGTCTGGACCACAGTCTGTGAACATCTAGGATGGCCTATGTTATGGAAGGAGGCACTGGTGCAGTGGGATCTAGCAGGAGTCACATGGTTAAACAGTCCTCCTTTGGTGGGGCCTCGGGCTGCACTTACCTTCAGAATGTCCCCGGTACGGAAACTCAGTTCATCCTCTCCAGAAGCATTGAAATCAAATTTGGCAATGGCTTCCATACTGTGCCTTGGTGACAGGGCAAAGCTGGAAGAGATACAAGTATGTCAATGTCTGGGAGGAGCTGTGACCTCTGAATCTAGCTCATAGAAGGGGTTGTTATCTCCTCTTGCTCAGGACACTGTGAACTATTCATTGGTGCTGTGATCTCTTCTCACTCAGGGTACCAGGGGCATTGAGACCAGCCTGTTGGTTAATCTGTAACAGTCCCTTGCTAGGGGCAGTTGGCCTGTATCCAATGTTGTGATCTCTTGTTCAGACCCACAAACCATTATTGGATTGAATGAAGTTACCAGCTGGGAACGATCCCATTAACTGGCATGGCTGATGGGCATCGGAACTAGACTCAGATTAGTGGTTCACTTTGCATCAAGAGGGCTCAAAACATACCAATGCAGACGCTGTTTCCCACAGGCCATTGTCTCCACCCAATAATCTAATGATGAAAATGTGCACCCCACGCCCAAGCAGGCTGATAATAGGGATGACCTCAGTGTAAGTGATAACAGCGTTGTTCTGTTAGCTATTTCCTGTGATGTAAGTGACCCCCTCACCCAGCAGAAGAAGGCACTCATCCTCCACAGTGGCCTACTTATTATCCTTGTGAGAGATACAAACTATGGGCAAAAGGAGGATCTTACAATAAAAAAAAATATTTTTTGGACGGTGAACACCATGTTGAAGAATGAAAGAAAGACCTTCCTCTACAAAGGCTTTTTGGCATGGATAGCCTTGATTTCCAGTGAGGGAAAGAACTTGTGTACAGAGAGGTTGTACTCCCTGTTTTGGAGGTGGCAGAAAACCAAATTGTAGTACTTATTGCTTAAGCCACATGAGTACAACATATGTGTCCAAAGAGTCCAGATTTCTGGAGCCTGAATTCACATCTTACATGTGTTTAGTGGCGGTGAAAGGTACCACACCATCATCAACAGCCCTGCAAACCAAAGTCTTCCTTTTTGTAGCATGGGAAGTAGCGGTGCAAGCTTCACTTAATCAACACTTCTTGCTAACGTAACTGAGATGTGTCCTGGAAGGACCATTGTTAGGATCAAAAGGAATGCTCAGTTCCCATGGCTCACTGAATCTCTGACCTGTCTGCTGAGGCTGCCAATGGCAGAGTAGGAAGTGGCTCAATTAGTGTCAATTGCATTGGTGTTTTTTGTGATGTAGGTACATGTCCTGCCAGAAACCAGTGGGAGATAATCCTGGAATTGCATTCACAAAGGCCACCAAACAGCTCTCATATGGGAATAACTTTCAGCACTTCTAACCCGGGCTGGACTGCAATCATGACCTGGAAGTTAAAGGCTCCATAGCCCATCTTCACTCCCCCAAGGCACCCAGTCTGTACATGCAGGGAAGCCTCTCCAACTTGCTTTACCTGAAAAGCTATTATCCAGAGGACCTCAGAAAAAAAACTCACCAACAGTTTCTCTAGAGAAACTTTGGTTTATTGAGCTGCCTTTCATAGCAGAACTGAGAAAGACCAAAAAGTGTTAGCTCTGAACAAGACCCAGAATTATGCAAGAAAAATGTCATGTTTAAAATTGATGGGCCACTAGAGATTGATTTTGAGAACTGTCTTCTCTCATTCCCAAATATAAAAGGATCTTCACATGCTTTTCTCCAGGGTTTCTTTCAGCACTTTCTTTTTTGATGCTTATTTGAGGTGAAATTGAATTTGTGTGACGAAACATGAGGCAGGCAGAATAGAGGCAAGGTGTGTGACTGTCCACACACAACTCTGCAAGTTCAGTGGGATCCTGTCTTACAGACATCTGTGTTATTTAAGTCCTGGGAGCTCCCACACAGCTATACAAACGTAGTTCCTTCCTGACCTGCAGTATTTCCCTTGCCCCTCCGAGTTTTGCCAATGCACTTCAGTAGTGAACTGCACCATTGTAATGGTCTGCCACTGTGCCTCAAGCTTGGCCAGCAAATTCTCCCACCATTTCAACCCTGTTCACCTCCTTCTCTCTCCTTCCCGCCCTCCCCCTGATTTGTTGATGCACCTTAATTCTGACCTATGACACCTTTTGGTATCCCAGTCCCAGGTCCTCACACCGATCTGCCATTGCACCTCAATGCTGAGCTACAATTGTCCCATGCTATTCTTGGGTCCCCAATATAGCTCTGCTGATGCAACTCAGCCTTGACCTGCAGCACCCCTTGCTATTTTAGCCACTGGAGTTCCTTATCTTCAGCCTGTAGTGTCACACAACTGCATGTGGTAACGATGATTGGTAGGTCACAAGGGAAGGATTAGGATTTCAAATGGGGGAGCAGCAGGTTAACCATTGTGTGAACTATAAAAACAAAGATTTTGTTTTCATGTAAACATCCCTTATTAATAATGATTACTTAGAACAATGGGGAGAGAACTAAAGAAAATGCCAGCAACCAAAGGAGAGTTGCTTTAGTATGGCATGTTTTTCAGTGTTTTACCTTGAGGCACTGGGCTGCTCTATAAAGATCACAGACGGCTGGATGAATACATCCTCAAACTCCTAAATGCAGAGCAATAATCTCAGTTTGAGACAACCAGTTAAAAATAACAACCTCTTGGAATACAAAGCCTGGCTTTGATTTTTGCCCTTTGGTGGAATTAGAGATCTCAGTGATTCTTTCTATGAGGAGGGAGAGTGTTCATTTCATTTTTCAACTACCAGACAGTTAAATGTGATATTTGACATCCTCCCGCCCCCCAAAAAGAGCAGTGCTAGGGAAACAGTTAAAGGCTCATCTCTCACTTATTTTCAATTCCAGCAATTCCAACCTTGGGCAGTGACCGAGACACAGACACCTCTTCAAACAATCTAACAGATGGATTAAATGTATTTTTCATTGCCAGAGGCTGGATTTAGGAGTGACTCAAATACCATACACAGTGTTGGCTAGGTTGATAAATCAGTACTGCAGTAAAACCATGGCCTTAAACTCTTTCCCCACCAACTACTAAAGCACCACTGGTCAATAATCCTGTCTTTGAACCCCAGCCTAGCATTTTTCAGCACCTGAACTTCAAACCAGCCCTGCATCTCTGATCCTATTCCTCCCTTCTCTTGTATCTCCAGTTTCCTTATACTGTTCAGGTCAATGCTGGGCTTTTTAAGAAAGCTTTTCCACTAGGTGCTCATTCTTCCTCTCTCTACATGTGTATGACTTCCATCAGCACCTGTGTGACAGAGAGATGTTTGATTTTTTGTCATTACTTACATTTCTCAGGCATCGTTTCTCCTAAAGGATATCAGAACACTTTACAGACTGCGAGCCAAATTCTGCCTTCAGTTACACAGCACAACTCCATTAGCTATAGTGTAATTGAAGGTAGAATTTAGTTCTGTATATACAGTATTGGGTGAAAATCACCCCAGTACAGAGGGCAAGCTCAAGGCCTATGCATCACTTAGTCCCACTAAGGCCTCTGACTGCTAGAAGCTGGGACTGGATGACAGGGGATGGATCGCTTGATGATTGCCCTGTTTTGTTCATTCCCTTTGAAGCATCTGACATTGGCTGCTGTCAGAAGACAGGATACTGGTCTAGATGGACCATTGGTCTGACCCAGTGTGGCCGTTCTTATGTTTGCTTAACCCCTATTTAAGGCATGAATGTGAATTATCTAGTGCTGGCTTTCTGCAGAGACATGAATTTTACTTTTAGTGATAACCCCCTATATCACTGAACTGCCGACGCATCTAGGCTAGAATGCAGGTGCCATTCTGTGCTATCAATGCTACACCAGAGTGAAAGGAGGGGAAGTGAAAACTAACTTCACCATTTGAAACTACACAGGACATATTTTAGGTCAGTAGAATACGTAATTCCGTGAGTTGGAATTCAGCCAGGACACTGAGGTTAACACCTCCACATTTATGAAAAGTGACAGGGGCTATTTAATGACCACAAGTGATCAGATGATAAATCTCATCTCATCTGAAATACAGCACTCCAATAATAGAACATCCCTCCTAACCCCTTGCTGGGGCGTTGGCTCGGTAGTAATGACTCAAGAGGAAGAACACCACCTACTAAGACACCAACACCACTGTCTGCATCACTGGGGTTTTCTATGGCAGCCTTTCATTTATTTATTGTCTAAGCTCAACTTTGTTTCCTTGAGTGTGATAAGATCACAGCATGGCATGGGGCATGGCTGCAAGCAGGGTGCATGTTCAAAGATGACGACCTTAACAAGAGCTTGATTTTCAAGCCTGTGACTTATATAAATCAGACCCACAGCTTCAACCAGTGAGCTTTCATCAATAGATGTGAAATGGCATGTTCTGCTCTGCCTTTTTGGGTACTGCAGGTGTCAGAGTTTAAAGTCAGAAGGGGCCACTAGATCATCTAGTCCAGTGGTACTCAGATAGGCTCATGAGGCGCAAGTGGCTCTTTAATGTGTCTCCTGTGGCTCTTTGCAGCACATGATGTTACAATTATTAACCAGTCAGGATGATTTTACTATGTTATTAACCAATTAAGTTATCAATTTGCACTAAGTTATTAACTTATTGGCTGTGAGAACTATAGATCTATATATATAGATATAAAATGTTCATCTTTCTCTAGAAATTAAGACAAAGACAGCTGTGATGGGAGTGTAATCCACATGGGGAAAAGGGTTAACATCTCAGGACAAGGGTGGCAAACCCTAGAAGGGAGCCCTACAGTGAAGGAATTTCTAGGCAACCAGAGAGGAGAGCCGCTTCCGGTCTCTTTCCTGGTTGGGGGTTTGCCACCAGCGGCTCATTTTCATTTTTATTTATGGCGTAGAAAGCCATTTTGTTTTATGGCTAGACAATAAAGACATTTCAAAGCAGGACATTTCCATGGAAATTTCCATATATACACACATGTAAACAAAATATTTCCGGTCATACTGTTTAAACATGACTAGTATATAGTAAATGAATCAATGAATTCACACTATTGTGGCTCTTTTGGGTAATGTTGATTGCTAATTTGGCTCCTGAACCACTGAGGTCTGCGTATCACTGATCTGGTCTGACCTCCTGTATTAC